GACCTCGGTTTTTACGGTCTCATCCGAAAGACCGGTCTCCCGCACCCGCAACGTAAGGACCAACTCCTTACTCCGCGAGTAGACGTTCTAACCACTGTGCCACACGGGCGACATTTGTTACAAGTACATGCATTTTACATAAAAAAACACACAAAACTGATAACCCTTTGATATGTTTTGCCTTCATGAAATATATGGAGATAATGAACCGTATTCGAGCTCAAAAGTCCATTTAACAATACAAAATAGGAGCAGAGCAAACACGGACCTCCAAACATCAGAGGTGGGATCAGGTGCCATGGAGGAGTAAGCATCCCCTGCCGACCGGTCACACCCGCCGGGTGCTCCTAGTCATGATCGGGAAATAACGGAAAAACCCGTCGACAATTCTGTGTGTAAATAATGGCCTAACAATTAGTATGAAAAAAGTCAGTCACCATTTGACTCAATGATAAATTGTATTTGCTGACAAGGTCATTGTAGAACTTACGAAATGATGACTTTAAACGAGACAGCATATATTCTTGTTTCATCAACTTTTTTGTCAATAATATACCTCGTTTTAGAAATTGTACATACGTAGAGCATGATCTTGAGTATCGAATCAACTGAGAGATATATACCCCGTATGCAGGTGATGAAGGTATATTGCTGCATAAGTAAGGGAAGTTGACGATTGAAAAGTTAAAGTCATCACGTTTATCATAAAGCTTCGTTTTAGATTACCATTAACGTCTTTTTCAAGTAAAATATCCAAATATGAAACAGATGTGTCAGACTATGTGGTATCTTTTATCTCAAGTTCACGAGGATATATCGTATGGACATAAGAATGGAAATAGCCATTGTTAATTGACAATACGTCGTCGATATATCTACATGTCGAGTTGAAGGCCCCAGCAAGTGTTTTCTTCTATTCACGTACAAAATTTTGGACAAATTCTGCTTCATAAGAATACAAAAAAGTCTGCTAATAACGGGGCACAATTGGTTCCCATGGGAATTCCAATAGATTGTTGGAAGACCTGGTCTCCAAATACCACATTGATATTGTCAATCAGAAACTCAAGCATCTGTTTAATGTCATTTTCAGAGTACTTGTGTGTACAATCAGAATGTTTTTTAACAAAATAATTTTGCAAATGACCAATGACAAGATAAGTATATATACGAGTTCCATTTTTATTGAAAAAGCAGCTGTCAATGATCAAAAAGCCTGGACTTTAATTTATCGTGGGGAATGGTTGTGTATAAAGTTGAAAAGTCGTAAGTTTTTAAAGCTGTTGATTTTGGTAAATTCTTGTGATTTCAAATTTTCCAAAAGTTCCTTGGAATTTTTAAGTATCCACATCTGATTTACACCACTTCTCGAATATATATTGTTGCACAGTACTCTTGAAGTTTCTCCTTCAGCACTGTTAATATCTTAGTGAGGAGTAAAGATAGAGGCTTGGTTGAACATTTACTGGAACCCGCTATGTATCTTTGTTTGTAAGGATTTCTATGAAGTTTCGGAATCCAATATAAATATGGTAATTCAAATTCATTTTGGTTGTTTGGAATATTAAAAATATTCAAAACTGACATGAAATACAAAAATATGATTTTGAAGAATTTCTTCCTTAGAAAGGGAACTATGAGTATAAGTTGGATTACCACTTGTAGAATTAAATCCAAGTTCCTATAAAATACATTCAATATTATGAGTCTTACAAGCAAAGACAATGTTGTTACTTGCTTTGTCAGCAGGGACCAGTACGTACTGATCATGTTATATATCTAATTCTTTTTTCACTTCTGGATTATTGAATACAGAAGGATAGATGGTTTTCATATTGCCTCTCAATCTTTTAATGCGCGATTTTAACATACACCTGATACATTTAATCCATTCTGACAAAGTGTCAAGGTCTTCTTTTTCATGTCTGGCCCATCGCCTGGCGTAGTCCTCTACAGAATCCATAATATTTATGAAATTCCGACGCCAGTTGAAGGATCTGGGTTCCCTAAATTTAGGACCTTTTAAAATTAGCGATCTAAGGTCCTCATTATTAACTATATTTACGTCACTAGTAATAACGTGTCCAGCAGGACTATAGTTATAGGGCGTAGAAGAACAAGAACACGAAGGAGGATTATGTTTCAGATATTCGATATCCAGGCCCTGTTAAGTTTTCTTGTAATCGAAACGTTTGGAAGCAATATTCGATGTATATTTGTAGGAAATACAAGGTGTAGTCTTTAATTTGAAATATGGTGGATTACAAGACTGGACCCTTTTTTGATTAAGAATATTACTTATATTAACCGCGTCAATTCCTTTGTTGGCGTATTGAGGTTTAAGGAAAAAAACGGATTGTTTTAGCTGCATTTTCTTCAGTAAAATGCGGGGATTTAAAAAGCCTATGGTTGGCAATATCCATAATTACAGATCCGAGCCTATATTCTGGTGTCGAGGAATCAAAAAATGGACTTTCCTTGACCTTTTCAAGAAGACTATTTAAAAGTTTCAAAGGGACAGAGTAAAGTTTGGTGCGAATATGATGTAGACCTTACTGTTATTTACGTAAGGTAGTAATGGATCAAAAGAGACATCGTGTATTAAAGGTTTATTGTAAGACCAATGCCCATGACTACGCTTACGTCTCTGTGTATGATTAAAAAGTATCATCACATTTACATTGTTACACTGTGGACTGGAAAGATTTCCAACACTAACGACATTGTCATTACATCCATAGGGAAAGGCTGTTCCTAGCTTCCTTATCCAGAATTCTTCTCGTCTACGGAAAGGTGTACTCAGTGATGGACTGTCTGTGTGATGGTAAATCTTTTCCAGAATTCTAACTTTCATTGACAAAATAGAATGATCAGGTAAATTGAAATGTTTGTATGAAGTTGCTGGCCCCCATTATTTATCTGAAATCTATGATCTGATGTTCATTTATTGAGTGATCCTTTGGTTTCACCAACATAAACAAGTCCACAAAGATTACATTCTATTCCGTAGACAACATTAAAAGATCTGCAGTTCAGATTTTCCCAAGTTTTGGTACAGAAGCTCTGTCCAGTAAGATTACTGGTGAAAGAAGTGTTAGTTATCAAAATGTCACAGGTTTTACAGTTTTTCGCAGAACATTTTGAAATAGAAGACATGGGATCGGAAAAGGAGTCTTCGAATATATCTCTAATAGAAACTTTACATTCTTTCAATTTTTTGTATGAACTGTTGGTTTCATACCAAAACTGGGAATCTGAAGACTGTACATATGACATATGTTTAATATCCCTGAGGATTATCCGAGGGGCACCGAATGAACTCCTTGAGTCTGTGTCCCTTATAGACTCAAAAGAGTGACGCCTTTTTATACTGGGCGACACGTCTGCCAGTATCATTTCTTTATTCTGTGTACTTTAAATTAATGCATATAAAACCACAAAATTTAACCAGATTTCCCTTGTATTTATTGAATTTTTATAGGTCAAAGTTTAGTGACGGACAAAAAATTTTGATTTCTATTTTCCCCATTAAGTTCATTGATAAAACCGAGAACCTCTCTCATTTTGCTGATTGATATTTTAACAGATGATACTACCAACTCTTCTTTCGTGTTCATTGACTACGCAGTACCCAGAGAAGAGGCAGATAAGAGGTGTTCTTTCTATGGCTTCAAGACCCCGGATAATAAGGCAACGGAACATGAACTTAGTTCTATCATGCAGTCTAATGAAATTGTATGGACGTTTACTGTTGACGACAGATATGTTTTCATAAGACATCGTCCATGGCTTTCAATCAGAGGTAGACATTCTTTTTGCTCTTTAACACTTACAAAAATAAAAATCATGAGATTAAAATAATCATAAACCTCGTTTAAAATCAGCATTCTGTAAATTCTATGGTCGTTATAATGACCTTGTTAACAATATAACCTATCATTTGGTTGTGTTGTGGCTGATGTGTTTGATACCAATTGTTGCCCTTGCTTTTATATCAAATTTGACTAAGTTGTAATTATATTATTTTATGACGTCAGAAAGAGCTTTCCCTTCTGCTCATATTTCACATAATGTTGGATCTTATTCCATTTTATTTCTTTTCTTTCTTTTGACACCTACTCTTTTATTTCAAGTGATCCACTAAAGATTATCTTCTGTGATTAAGTTTAATTTGTACTTTTAGATTTTTTTTATCTGATGAATATTCTAAAAAAATTCTTCTCTCTTTCTTAAAACAAAAGTTTAGGTTATCATGATAAAAGGAAACGAATGTTCAGGTTTCAAAAGTTCTAATAAATATTCCATGTTCAGATGATATTGATAAATTCCAAGATTATTATCAGCCTGACCTTTATAAGTTTCTTGATGAAGTATACATTTAAGTCCTGTTTAACTTATTTACAGGCTGTCATCATATAAATCTGACACACAATGGTGAACTGCACCCCAACTGTAATCTTGTATTTGATTCACCGGACAAGATGATAAGTTCATATATTGGAATACATGTACGTGCGGTTTTTCTATGATCTCGTTTGTGTCTTTATCTTACATTTTAGAAAAGTAAGATATTCAAAACAGGGCAGAAAGCTAAATAATTCTAAGGTAAACTACGATAACGCTAGTATTAAACATCTAGGACAATTCTTGTTTGATATAACATTCAGAGAAATCTTCTTTTGATTTACTAACATTGAAGATATTATCGGATGTCGCCTGTTTTAAATTTATGCAAAAGATTATTTTAGACAACCTGTGTTTAAAATTTATGCCCCATTGTATCGAAATAACTTTAAGGCTGCAAGGTTCTTTCAAATTTTTAGATTTTATTTATGAATTTTTTAAGGAAAATAATTTTAATTTAAGGTATGTTACTTGTCAGCTTTGGAGAAAAATTTGATCAAAACATCTAACTCCAAAATTATTTTGTCAAAATTCAATTTTAAATATTTTTTAAATTAAACAATTTAAATTATGCTAAGGATTTCTTATTGTCAAATATGGCAAAGGTAATAGTGATCAATTTAAATGTTACAATTTAAGTATAAAAAAGGATAAGTTAATTGTACCGTTGCTCAGTAAGATACCCACTGACCCCCAATTTTCTTTGCTATTTTAGTCATGCTATATGAGTAGTTACCTACAATATAATTCTCACAAAAATCCTTGTAAAACTCATATCAGGAGTGACATACCTAAGTAAGTTTTGGGTAGGATTTTTCGGAAATTATTTTATTACAATTTCTAAACAACATTTTGTTTGTTTTGTTCTAAGTACGATTTATTTTTCCACGTTTTTAAAAGTTGTATTGATTCTTAATTAATTTATATCTCTTATTTTCTTAAATAAAATGCTCTTTTTTATTGAAAGACTCTAGGAAGACATATTATTTTACCAAGACTGTTTATTCATTAATAAAAATAGTAAAATATTACTATTGGTCTTTTAATACTACAGAACACTTCCTGTTACGTAATACCAGAGAATATTAAAGAATTTGAGAAAAAGCAGCTTCCAGAATCGCTCTGTGATTGGCGATGTTCTGATGTGATTGAGACTTCGTGTGGAGGAACAGAGGCAATTTCACTCTACAAAGTCATAGATGGTTATATATTTATTTATCATTAAATAAATGCTTGTAATATGAATTTTAATAAAATATTCTAAGTCAAAAGAAGTAATAAATTATATATAGGGAATAAAATCATTTGCATTTGATAAATTTCAGTGAATTACACAACTTTCTGGGGGTTTAAACAACTCCATGAGGATCAATGCAATGCTTTGTATCTACCTGATGTTGATCTACCTTATCAAAGAATTGTCTGCCAAAACACTTCAACGTGCTCAACTCTGTGTTTACAAAGTAAGTTTTCATCTGTCAATATATATATATATATATATATATATATATATATATATATATATATATATATATATATATATATATATATATATATATATATATATATATATATATATATAGGGATGCTGATTTCTCATAGAATTCTTGATACTATTTTAATGATGAGGTGTTTTCTTCGAGTATTTCTATAGTCTTGTAGATGAAGAACATTATTACAGTTCAGTTCTCATGTGCATAAATAAATAATGTAGTAGGTCTATAGTGCTTCGATTTAAACTTTTTCTGATTTAAAAAAATCTGCTAGTTTCATATGAAATTCAGCTGTAAATTGCTTCCTTGAACTTATCACGTGCTAAATAAAGCTTTCTTCACATTTTGCTTTTTTTTTTATCAGAGTAAAGTAATCTACTATATTTAAGTGTTTTATAAATATTTTGCATGATCCCTATTTTTATTTATTTTCTTCTTATCTAATAATCATTATTAACAGGTATTAGAAAAAATACAATTGTCATCAAATATCGTAATACTAGTTCGACTGAATGGATCAAGGCTTGGAAATCGTGTGTTGAACATAATGCCAGTCTTCCTGACGAAAGGGGAAATTTTTTGTATGATTTTACTGAATTTCCCTGTCTTGGAATAATAAGGAGTACTCAATTGATATTTAACGGCAAGTATATATTTTAAGCATATCTATTCTAGAAATTCAACGTAATATCTTGTTTTATACTTGTATTTTCTCTTGAATCAAAATCGCTTAGATATCGTTTTGGAATACTCAGTACTTAAGTATTTTCTTTTGAATTAAAAACTTTTTGATTTCATTTTTGCAACTTTGCTATCATTGTTGATAGTCACTATAGACTATAAACTGTTTATGGTGTTTTGAAGTTGACGCTCCAATTTGTCTCTAGAATCTTTGACAAAAGAATGTGCTGTGCAATATTATCAAACCGTATACTTTCTATTAGGTTCAAGTCAGGGTCTTGTTTGGGCTAAAGAAGATATTCATACCTTCCTACTTCTACTTTTCAGATCAAAATCGATGAAAAGAATACATAAAACTTTTATCATTCAGTGCAATGCGATTTGCAAAACACTTTACAACAATGATGCAAACGTTCTGTTTTCCGGAAAGAAAGGCAAAAATTATATTCCATAAATGAATCCCCTTTAAACTACTGGTTCTCTGTGTTATTATACATTTATCTCTTAGAAAACCCAGTAAATACTCATAATAGCAAAGAAAGGTCTATCGCTTTATGCCATACACATTTTCTTTCGATCAATCTTTGTAAAAAAAAGTCATTCCCTTATTAATTTACATTTCCTTAATAAAATGCACTATAGTAAAGTATATTTAACTAGTTTTAAAGATAGTAAATCAACATATTTTTTACTTTGAATGTTAAATTCTAATATCTTATTTTATCCAATTCTTACATGAAAAATGAAAAATGGAAGATAATGAACAATGCACTATCTCAAAAAATCTACCAACAAAACAAATCTGTGAACACGGACTCCCAAAAATTATAGAGGTGGGATCAGATGCCTAGAAGGTCAAGTTAATGAACAGAAATCGATCTCAAAATAGAATACAAAAAATACAAATCTGTGAATAGGGAGTAAAACACGGATCCTTGAAATTCCAGAGTGGAATCAGGTGCATAGGAGGAGTATACGTACCAGGTATATTGTACTCGTATATTCACATATTTGTTTTTCTCTAAAATTTACATCATTTGTATGGACCTTAGGAGATATTAGGACTCTAAGTCTCAGATAAAGTTATAAAAGTCTCACGGTAACTCAAAGTATCAATTTATTTGTCAGAAGTTTACGAGTAAGTTTTACATTAATGAATCTATTAACAAATAAATTATAAAACAGTATTATAACATGCCTTTGGCCACTGTTTTTATTCGTAAGTACTATGGGAAACTGTAAAAATTTAGTTAACAAAAGACATTTTAGAAGGCTGCCTCAGTTTTCAGTGATTTCGTCCTTGGAACTGTTTGGCTACTGTCCTGCTGTATTTTCTACAGTATACATATAACAGCCTTGTCCTCTGGGATACTGCTTTTGGTATGGACAAATAAGATCTAAAATTAAATCTTTTAAAGATTCTCATTTACTGTAGTCGTATTCATTTTCACGAGGAGCCATATTTCCACGGACTTGCATTTGCTGTTTAATCCTTGGGTACAAAAATAAAATGCAGAACCTTTATCATGCCTCCGGTTTACAACTACCAACCATATAAATACTTGTGCTCCCCGATTTGAAAAGCTTACTCCTCCATGGCACCGCTCCTACCTCTTATGTTTTAGAGGTTGTTGTTTGCTCTACTCCTGATTTGTATTGTCTTAATGGACTTTTGAGCTTGATTACTGTTCGTTATCTCCATAATACATTTCATCTACAAGTACTACTTCCATACATAAACTTCACCTACGCAGTAATAATATATTTTCTCGAACTGTGTGCATATGGTTTATAAGCTTTATGATATATAACGTATTAGTCATTCAAAAAATTTTATATAAAGTGTTTTATTTTGAGAACCGTTTTACTGTTTTTTTTTAAAACAATTCTATGTCATTAAAAAAATAAGGGGATTTGATTCCTAATTGTCGTGATCCTGGGACGCTGGTAGGGCCTGCAGTTTTAGGGCAATTATTATTCGCTTACGACAAAAAACAGGCTTATTTTTGTTTATTTATATTTATTATAATTATATTTAGTTGCATTAGATTACTAATAAATTAATCTATAAAAATAAAGTTAAGGAATTATTTTCACACTGAATAGTGTACGGATTTGTCTGTTTGTCCGATCATTCCAAAAAGCACACGGCGAATGTGACTGTAGACGGGGTATGTTTACTCCTCCATGGCACCTCTGGTGTTTTTAGTGGTCCGTGTTTGCTCTCCTCCCACTTTTTATAGTTCCAATAGACTTTTGGTTAAATTACTGTTCGTTTTTTCATATTTCATTAGTAATGAATATGTCATACTTCTGAGTATGTAATTGAACTATTTTAGTCCGCTATGATGATATTCCGTGGAAATGTGTGTATGTGTGTATGCCCACAGAGTTAGTGGAAATATGTCCGGCGTGGAAAAATTACGTGTACTTTATTAGCTTAGCCATGCTTTTTCCTAGTTCTCACCTCTAGGTCCGTGCTTTTTCTGTTCGTGATTTGTACTCTTCTCTTGATTTATGAGATTGGTCACTGTTCGTCTTTTTCTACTTTTACATCCAGACATCTATTTTCTGTCTATTTTATATGTCCCCTCTTTCACAAAATCTCTTCCCAGAATAGATGCAGAAAGCTTTAAGAAGCCCTTTGAAGTTTACATTTGAAAAATCCAGCAATGCTTCTTGATGTTCTTAAAAATGAATTAAAAATTAAATACCCTTAGTACTGCCTCTTTGAAAAGCACAAAAGCCATTTCAAAGTCCCTAATAAGATATATTTTGAGGAAATATTCATCATAAGTTGTTTCAAATCCACATTCTCATTGATTAAATAATTTTAAATGATTTTTGATTACTTGTGTTTTCCTGCAATGGATATCTAGTTGCTGTAATAGTAGGCATCATTTATTTTCACAGAAAGGGCACTCGGTGTTCTCAGCAAGAAGGGGAATGGCAGCATTGTTCTTGAATCTACGTTGGAGAGGAGGAAAATGTTTCCGTTTATTTGCGAATTATTAAATGAACCAGCTGGTAAACTACCTTTTATATAAATCGTCTAAATTTTTGCTGCAGTTGAAATGCATAGAAATATAAATACTTAGATTTCTTCATTTGATTCACAGTTCAAAGCACCGACTCAGACAGATCCAAGACAACAAAAAAATTTCAGATCGATCTTATGTCGGGTATGTCTCCTGATAAAGCATTCTATTTTGTCTACGTTGGCATTTTGATATCTTAAAGTCAAATGATTAGATGAGGAATATAATTATGCATATATAGGGAAATAATGTATAAATATATTTATAAAATTATGGGAAAACAGGTGTGTTGGTTATGAATGCAGTATAGGTCTATCGGTAAAGCAGATTGCTTGGTTATTTATTTTGTTAACGGGTGAATATGTAAAATCCTTGCCTCGCATAATTCACTTACGTGTAAGGTAGATAGTCGCGTGTTTTAAGTCATTCGAAGTTCGCTGCTACGTTGCAACAGACTATTCCTTGCTTATGTCGAAGCAGATAAATACAAATTGTTTAAGTGAATATCGAAATCAGTTTATTCGAGATGAGCCTAGCTTCTTCTCATGCAGTTTTGCAGAAAAAAAGATTACATGTATGTACAAACAAACGGGTACGAGGTTTCGGTCATTTTTGACACGTTTTTATTGTTCAAGACGTATTAAGACCTTGAGTGGGAAAACTTGCACAAAAGAAGGAGCAGCTATCAACTGGTAGTTTATTACGACTCTCTCCAAGAAGTAAAGGTGTGCAAAATAAATTGTAAGTTTAAACACTGTTTTATTCATAATAAGATGAAGGGGACTAGGCAGCATGCACAGCCGTTTTAGTCTTCTACGTAACTTTCGCATGAAGGTAACAAAATCCATTTAATAACAATTTAATAACAACGAAAGCTTTAGTGACTAAAAGAAAACTACAAAATTGTTTTTCAGTTAAAAACTCATCCTCTGCCAGTATAGTTTCTTTCATTAGTACATAGCTCACAAAAATTGAAAAACAGAAAAAAGTATAGAATTCGCCTACGATTCTGAAAGCAAATAGACACACGCACCAAACAGAGAACCTGTTACGCATTTGGACACAGATCGTAGGCAAAGAGTTCCTGGTCAATCCACTTATGGTTGCAGATAACAATGGTTCAGGTAAAAAGAGGCTAATGCTAGTTTAAGCGAATTAAACAATTTCGTAGAAATTAGAAAGATAAATTTCTTTTAATTAAATTTAACTTATAATTTGGTCACGATCACATTAATATAGATGCACAGGAATTATGTTACCTCTTTTGCCTTTTGTGGAAGGATGGTTATATATTTTTTAATGTGTCAACTTTTCGGTTTGAATTTAGTTCCGTACAGTTTTACGAAATGTCTAAGACTTTTCGTTTAACTCTTGAGAAGCCATGATAGTTATTTAATATCATTTTTTGAATGGGTTCATATTTGGTAGCAATTATGAACAAAGTCCAAAAATTCCAATGTTTTTAATACAAATCTGACACAAAAGTTACGAGACACAATTAATTACATTTAGAAAATTAAGTTCACCGGGAACAATTTAATCTATTTTGAATTTCATGATATGGTTAGAACAGATCTAGAGTTCTATGCATAAATCTTGATGAAATTTAATCAAAATATGTAATGATATCTTCTGTTATAGTATTTTCGAATGTTAGCAATGTTGCCAAGCTTGCAGAAATGGAAATGAAAATTGTACATCATAAGTAGTAAAAATTCCAATCATTGACGAGTTCTATATGAAGAGAATTGAACGTCACTGAATTACCCTGATAGATGGTATTAAATTTTCTTGCAATTTTCTTTATAATGGAAAGCAGCACAGTGGAACATTGATTGCAAAATTGTGCGTAAATTGTTCAGAAAGCCAGTACAATAGTCATTCAAACTCTAGTTTTCAGTATCAAACCAAGAGTGTATGATTTGCTATTTCGCTTTATATAATTTGGATTCCAAGAGAGGATAATACCTTACCTGACTTTAATGTTATTGATTATGATAAGTGGCAGATCACTAGCGAATTTCTCAATTCATTGATAGTATGTTTGGGGTCCACACACTTCGGGCATAATTGCTAGTGCTCACAATTCTAAAGTGGAAAGATCTAGTAAATGTACCGAAGCTGTTTTCAAATTCTGTAAATAAGATAATTGGATTTTTCCTGATATTAACCTTGAAGAGTGATGAAACATTTTTAATTTATTTTGTAGAGTTAAATTCTAACTCAATAGACCTCTTTGGTGCCAAAGTGGCTTTCTGTTCCTTTTTGGACATTGATGTTGATGTAGAAAAGAAGTACATAAGGTACATGTATGTTATTGATGTTCCATAATTTGTACATAACCAAAACGTATTTATGTATTCCGACACTGAATAAATACGAATATCCTGTTTTGGTTCAGAGCATTTCTATTTTAGAGTATTGGCTTTAAGATGTTGTACTGAATATTCGTAGAATGGACCGTTTTAAGATTACCTTCCTGATGCATCTATCATGATCTGGTTTGGTTTTCATCTGTTATGAAGTAAATATGACTCTTTCAAGATTTGATATCTTGATGAGATTTGTAAGGTCTAGAATCATAGATGTATTATGCAAAAATTGCCCTTGTAAAGATCCGTATGTGTCTTGATGAAATGGCAAGATTTGAGATGTAGTATGATGCAGACAAGTTCCTTTCAAGATCTGAAAATATCTTGATGAAGCTGGATTAATGTATAATGTGAAAACGCTTTTTTGAGATTTTTAAAGTTTTTGATAAAGCTGGCATTTTTGGGATGTCGAATATTTAGACAAGGCCCTTTTCAAGATTTGTAAATATCTTGATGAAGCTGGAAAGGTTTGATCAAATGTATTATTATGCAGACAGTGCACTTCCAAGATTTGTAAGTATCTTGATTAAGCTGGCGAGTTCTGAGATGTATTATTATGTAGATAAGGCCATTTTCCAGATTTTTAAGTACCTTGATCAGGTGAAAGAGCTAAGGCCAGTCATTGCTTTCTAAGCTCTTCAGACCTAAAAAAGGCTATATTTCTTCCAATGTGTGTATGTAAGGTATACATTTCTTGGAGTAAGTATTGAAGATTGCTGAATTCTGTTTTTTCAAGTCCGTGTTTGCTTGCATTTTGCAAAACTTATGATATTTTGTATTTAACAAACGCGAACAGGAGCCGCAGTGAGCAGAAATCACTTGTAGAAGTACACACTTTCTCTGTACCGAGCATTACAGGTAACCAATTCACACCTGAGTTGATCAGTGCTGTGCATTCACTCTCTAGTCTTCAAGCTAGCCTCGGGGAAATAACAGACTCACTTAGCACAATCAGAAGTCTCTCCGAGGAAATAAGCGATATTAAGAAAGACTGGTGGGAAGAAGACGGATTCGATCACAGAATCAAATTGATAGCTCAGCAGCAAGTAGATGGAGAGAATGAGCTATTTTTCAGATAAGATAATTCTTTTGTGTCTTGCTGTCCACCCCTCATTTTCAATACTTCTTGCCTGTATAATACATCTATAGAATAAGTAAAGTACATCCATATATAATTCTCCAAATAATAAATAACGTACATCCTGATAAAATGCATCCATAGAATATATAATTATCTTACATAATTTTATAATGCATCCATCGAATAAGTCATCATCTTGCATCATTTTAAGAATTATTTTTTTTTACTACAGAACATCGGATTTTAAATGATTATATACGGCATTACGAGAACGTACTTATGTTCTAAGCTCGTAGAAGATATTTATATTTTTTGTGGAAACTCGTGATATTTAAGAAATTTATAAAAAGGTTTCTTGTTTGTTTGATTTATCCTTTGTGTCTTTACTTCTCTGTATTGTATTTGTGGAGCTCTTCACTTTTTGCTTTATATTTTAGGATAAGGGTCAGTCTTCACTCTTTGTTTTCTATTTTAGGATAAGGGTTAGTCTTCATTTTTTGTTTTCTATTTTAGGGTTGGGGTTACTCTTAAGTCTTTATTTTCTATTCTAAGAAACTTCCATCTAAATCTCCATCCTCCTGACAGCGTTTTCTCAGCTGATCACAAATCTCGCCAACCAGAGGGCTCCGAGGAGCACGTAGATACATCTTTTATATATGATGGTCATGTTCGAGGTAACTTCGTGTGTGTGTGTGGGGGTTGGGGGGTTGGGTGGGGGGCGTGTATGTGCGTGCGTGTTTTAAATTAAGCAATATTCTTGTATAACATTCTCAAATGCCTTCCTCATCATGAAGCCATTTATGAACATAATTTTGTCACATTTCATTTTGAGATCATACCTTTTTTTTGTAGTATAAAACCAACGAGTTCACTAAAATTTTATATCGAAGCATTAGAATTTTGATTGGTTTCCACCTACTTTTTTAATTATTTTAATTTTTAATGTATTTTTTATGTAACATTTACTAGAGAAAACTGAACAGAAAAATAAAGTATTGGTAAGATGATTACATTTTTCGAAATTTTTAGTATTTTTTTTATTTAATTGATTATTTGTAAACAACTACAACAAAAATATTTTCAGAATATCTAAAAGTTTCCGAACTTCTCCCCAGAGGAAAAGGATTCTTTAATATTCTTAAAATATATATAAGTATATGAAAACGGCTTAGAATTTTAGTTATACTGGAAAACGAAAATATTTCTAAAGAGATTTTTTTAATGTGTATTGTTTGACAGCATTAGAATATTGTATTTTATTATAAGGTCAACATGTTTCGAAGAGCCATTTAGCTGCCTCAAATCAATATTTAAATGTAAACTTTAATACCGTTTATTTACTTCCGCCTATCAGTACTCTTAATACTTTGATTTTATTTATAGGAGTCCCAGACAGCGCTGTCCATGGCGCGGTACTGCGTGGTATATTTCAGGGTACCATAATGCTGTCACCAGAGAAAATTTACTTCATCCAGTCGGGGGACCGGTACTTCCCGAATTCTCCCCGACTCCTAGATTTTCACTCCATTATATACAAGGAGGACATATATGAATCTTGGCCCTTACAGGTGAGTTATAATTATTAGGCATCTACTAATAAGCACGGGAAAACGGAACAGAAAAAAAACTATTACAGAGTATTATTATTAAACTATTGCACAATTTACACCTGTAATGAAATATATGGAGATAACGAACAGTATTCAAGCTCAAAAGTCCATTATACAATACAAAATAGGAGCAGAGCAAACACGGACCTCCAAACATCAGAGGTGGGATCAGGTGCCATGGAGGAGTGAGCATCCCCTGCCGACCGGTCACACCCGCCGTATGCTCCTTGTCTTGATCGGGAAATAACGGAAAAATCGGTCGACAATTCAGTGTGTAAATAATGGCCTAACAATTAGTATGAAAAACGTCAGTCAGCATTTGACTCAATGATAAATTGTATTTGCTGACAAAGTCATTGTATCGACCATAGAACTTACGAAATGATGACTTTAAACGAGACAGCTGATATTCTTGTTTCATCAACTTGTTCGTCAATAATTTACCTCGTTTTAGAAATTGTACATACGTAGAGCATGCTCTTGCGTATCGAATGAACTGAGAGTTATATACCCCGTATACAGGTGATGAAGGTATATTGCTGCATAAGTAAGGGAAGTTGACGATTGAAAAGTTAAAGTCATCACGTTTATCATAAAGCTTGGTTTTTAGATTACCATTAACGTCTTTTACAAGTAAAATATCCAAATATGAAACATGTGTCAGACTCTGTGGTATCTTTTATCTCAAGCTCACCGGGATATATCGTATGGACATAAGAATGGAGATAGCCATTGTTAATTGACAATACGTCGTCGATATATCAAAATGTCGAGTTGAAGGCCACAGCAAGTGTTTTCTTCTTTTCACGTATATTGATTGATTGTATGTTGTTTTACGTCCCATTCGAAAATTTTTCACTCATATAGAGACGTCACCATATACCGGTGAAGGGCTTCAAATTTTGACCTTTACTCGGCACTCAGGGCCATTGAGCAGTGAGGGATCTTTATCGTGCCAACGCCTGCCGTGACACGGGGCCTCGGTTTTTAAGGTCTCATCCGAAGGACCCGCAACTTTCACTTCAAAGTGCCGAGCGCATGGCGAAGGAACAGTTGCTACCCATTTTTTATCGACTTAGGTCAGTCGCGGCCGAGATTCGAACTCACGACCTCCCGATCACGAAGCGAGCGCTCTACCGACTGAGCTACCGTGAACGGTTCTTTTCACGTATAAGATTTTGGACAAATTCTGCTTCATATGAATACAAAAATAGGTCCGCTAAGAACGGGGCGCAATTGGTACCCATGGGAATTCCAACAGATTGTTGGAAGACCTGGAAAATTTGAAATCACAAGATTTTACCAAAATCAACAGTTCAAAAACTTACCAAGTTTCAGACTTATTGGGGCCCGATACCAGGGCCGCCATGTTTTGAAGAAATGAGTTTCAGGATACAGAGAACAACAGTAAGACGCCAGTGTACAGATATCTATTACATGTTACAGTTTACATTGTACAGACATCTGGATCCGATTGCACGAACGTTAGTTAGATTAACTTCCAGTTAGTGTCGTAACTAGCTGTAAAATTTTTAACGACGAGTTACGTAACTGTCAGTTAAAATATTGTTGTTCGAAAGTCTATTAAAAACAAATTAGCTAACTCACATTTAATTGATGCCTTATAGTTTTAAAACTCTATGTTAAAACCGTTCTACACGCGCATATCCCTTACCTATGGTGAAATATTTCTGACGCCATAATTTAGATGACGTCAATTCATAAATGTTTTTATTTGCAAAGTTATTTACTTTAAATGTTTATCTTATATTTGTTAAAACTAAATATATTATTAAAGATATTTACTTCAAATATAATTTTTTGCATTGAAATATAGTCTTTTACATGCAGTAAAAGCAATACAATTACAAAGTATATAATGTAGTTTTCTGTATTAAGTTCTAACACGAGGCATTGATTTTTGGGAGGGGTACTGAATATAAAAATAAAAAAAAATTTTCAAAAAAAAAAAAAAATCTTTCAAAAAGTGGGACCATACTCGTTTTACATGCCTAATGTATGTAGAATTCAACGATTAACCTACCTTTCAGTAACTTGTCTGAAGTTAATTTTTTTTAAAATGATGATCTTTGTGATAAAATATAATGTCACTTATTGTATGCATAATCGAATAAAAAAAATACATACATCTCCACTCATATGGAATGATTCGTTCTTTGCAGATAATATCGCAACACATATCCGCAATATGCACATGTATTATACAACCTTGCTAAATAAAAATCGGGATTGAATTTGCAAGTTGCTCAAGTCAGACATTTCTATTATCTTTGTATAAGTTCTTCCTTCCCAGAAAACAAATTTTGAAATGATAACAAGTCCGCGATCTTGATTATAATGTTTAATTAAATATTTAATGTACCTAGGTAACCTCAGTTAAATCTGAAAATTAATTAAGGTTTAACTGTTAGTTAACTTTTGTGCAACCGGTTTAACTCGCCGTTAAATTTAACGTCGGGTTAACGCAAAGTTAACGGCCAGTTAAATTTAACTAACGTTCGTGCAACCGGATCCTGGAATATATCACAGTTTACATTGTACAGACATCTGGAATATATACAGTGAAACCTGTCTTATCCGACATGCTGCGGGAAATAAAATCAATGTCGGATTAGACAGTGTGTCGGATTACCCAGTGTTGAATATTTCTGAGCGTTATGATTGGTGTCAAATGACTTCAAAAACCATTTTTCATTAGGTTTAGAGTACACGTGTATTTAATTGTCAACATGTTTGCATAATTGTGTGTTTCTTTGTTGTATAAAATATACCTTCGTTAATTAGCATTTCTTTGAGCATTAGTAAACTCTGTAGTTATATACGATGTTTCTTTTTCTAATGGACAAAACAACTGCCGATCGCTTCGAGATGTTGCAATTTAATTTTTAGCATTTTACTAAAGCAGTAGATGGTTAAGTAAATATTTCGTTTACATGTACCTTCTTTACACAGTGGTATTTTTTTTTCTACACTACATTTCTCTCCGAATTTTCTCCACTGTTTACTTCTCAATATAGACTGTGCTCTTAATACCGTCACGCGACTTTTCATACCAACCGGACGTAACTCTAAAACATTGTGTTTTTTATCAAACAATCGTAATATTTTATAATTTAATGGGCAACTTAAAGCGGTATTTTTGCTTCTGGCAAATCCTTTATGTGCACAGCCTTGCTTAATTCAGTGTATATTAACCCTGAAATGAAACTTTTTCTTTTAGACAAGATGTACCATTCAACTTGTGTATTGTCTACATGTTACGTTCGCCGTACTCTTTTTTTTCGGGCCATGGCTTTATGAAGGACTGACTGCATGTTTGATTTTAATTTCAAGCTAAAAATCTTAATGTAATCAAAATATCATGTACTCTTTTTATTTTCTGTCGCGTGAATGCGAGAATAAAACTGATAACAACAAAGAGAATTGATTGCCTAATTTTTTAATTAAAAAACTGATCATTTAAAACCAACATAAACACTTTCAAACTTACATGTAATTAACTACTCTCTAAGTAGACCAATCTTGTGGCCAAACGGGACATTCATGTCACCTGGCCTGCGGCTAATTACGGAACACCCGTGTAATTATGTCGGATTACCCAGGCGAAATCATAATGTAATTATCTAGTTTTGATGACAAAAAAGCGCCGGAATTCGGAATGTACAGTGGTCGGAATATACAGTGTTTTGTTCTATATAAAATTTAAAGAATTTTTTGGGAATAAAATATGAGGTCGGAAAGTCCAGTGTGCCGGATTGCACAGTTGTCGGATTGGGCAGTGGGCACTGTAATAGTATATAACAGTTTACATTGTGCAGATATCTATAATATATTACAGTTTACATTGTACGGATATCTATAATATATTACAGTTTACATTGTACAGTCATCTGGAATATATTACATTTCACATTGTGCAGATATCTGGAATATATAACAGTTTACATTGGGAGAAGTTACAGTTTAAATTGTACAGGTATCTATAACAAGTTACAGTTTACATTGTACAGACATCTGGAATATATTACAGTTTACATTGTACAGACATCTGGACTATATTACAGTTTACATTGTACAGACATCTGGAATATATAATAGTATATAACAGTTTACATTGTTTAGATATCTATAACATGTCACAGTTTAAATTGTACAGACATCTGGAATATATTACAGTTTACATTGCACAGACATCTGGACTATATTACAGTTTACATTGTACAGACATCTGGAATATATAACAGTTTACATTGTACAGACATCTGGAATATATAACAGTTTACATTGTACAGACATCTGGAATATACTACAGTTTACATTGTACAGACATCTGGAATATATAACAGTTTACATTGTACAGACATCTGGGATATGTAACAGTTTACAATGTACAGATATCTGGAACATATTACAGTTTAAATTAAAGAGACATATAAATATGTTAATCTTTGCATTGTGCAGATATCTGAAATATATTATAGTTTCATTCGACAGATATCTGGAATGTGTTTCAGTTTACTTGCAAATATTTTCCTTGTGTCATGGTTATATAATTTTTAGGGATGGCAACGAATATTCGAACATTCGAATATTCATTCGATGAGTTGATATTAGAATATGAATTCAAGATTCGAATATTCGTTTTTTTTTTCAGATTTCATAAAAAGAAGTATTGTGATTTATAAATTTTTATTAGAACAGTGCTGGAATTATCCCTGTTTAATTTACTAGCGATCAATTTCGATCGCCTGATTTCTTTCACTACTTTCTTAACTTATAAATCTACTAAATTACATGTATTTTGTTTTGAGTAAGGTGTTAAAGAATCGTACAATAATGCTTTATGTATAATACAAAACGCAATCTCATAGTTCTTATTAGTTAGATACGATCGGATCTAGAATCGAGAACAACAAATGAAATCTAAGAATGTCTAAAAGGCGTGAAGAGTATACTTATCAAAATAAAATTAATTGATCATTGAATGAATGTCCGATAGAATTAATCTGTAATTAATATTTTGAAGGGCTTAATTTCAGGATAAATGTGTAAATTACTTAATTATCTCGGGTTGTACATAATCCTGAATTTTATATTCATTATCGGGAAATAAGTTAATTACCTAGGAAAATTGTCTATGGAAATATTTGTTTACATTGTATCAAAGATTATAATCATATCTCTTATTAGGCAGATAATTGTAATTTATTACACGTATTGAAATCTGAACATTATACCATTACGACTGTCTTGCCTTTTGTAAGACGACTGGTTCCTCAGTTGAAGCTACTATAAATACACGTTTCATTTGTTAAAATTATACTTTTCTACCTTTAAATCAATTATATATTTCAAACGTTGACAAATATCAAATGAAATTTCTTATTGTACACCTACAAAAGTCTTCATACAATTTTACTTCCAATATAAGTATACCTACGCTAAACCTTTCATGAGGGTAGGATGATGCATATTTAAAATAAAACAGATTTTATTTCTTTTATCGAATATTCGAATATATTCGAATACTTTCATTGAATTTTCGAATATGAATTATTGACAAAATTGACATCCCTAATAATTTTACATTTCCCTAAATAAAGATTATAAATTTCGGATTTTTTATAAATCAGATGATGACGGACGAATCCCTACAGTGTACCACGTATCTTCGGACCAATGCTCTGAGCTTCTGTAATCCGAACATCGACGTCAGTAATTTTTTGAATCTGAATTCCTTGGACAATCATGATCCTTTCTGTCTGGCGTTTGCTTTCACCTATCGGGATTTCTCAAAAGGCACTCTCGGACTAGCCTGGGTTGGATCGCCCACGGGTAAAATTATCCTTCTAACTGTTCCTATTTCAAACCTTTTCTTCGTTTCATATTGACTTCATATATGAGACACTAAAAATAACTTCACTTAGCTCCTCCTCCGAAAAAAAAAACTTGTAAAAAAATCTTTTACGAATCAAATTTCCATGATCTTGGCACTTTTTGTCATTTTCAAATTTTATCATATTACACAAAGAAACATATACATATATATATTTTCGACGGCAGAAACGTAAAAAAAACCGGATTCATATAGCCAAGTGATTTCCTGTAAGACAACCTCAATATAAAAAAGGGATATGAAATTCCAGGTTTATATACCAAAGGGTGTGATGATGTGGAGCGGCCACAATTTTTTCATAAAAAAACATATATGCCGTATTAATGTGTAAAAGTATGGAAGTTTATATGGAATTTATAGTGAAATGAAATAAAAATATAATTCGTATTTATGCTGTGTGTAAAAAAGTTTTATATGTATATATTCGTTTTATAACGTACCGTTGTCCTTCTGGAAAGCACACTTGGCTTTATAATCTGGAATTTTATTACGTTACGGCCGTGCGGTTCTAAAAATGTCTGTAGTTCAAAGGGATATGCCTATAACGAAGATAAAAAAATTAGATTTACTGCTTAAAAATAGCTATGTAGAGGAATTAAAATGTTAGATTCTTTAGAGATCCTGTATACTGTCATGCTTTATAAATGGCTCACGGTGGGCGTGTCACTTTGACAGGATTGTTTACTCCCACATGACACCTGATCCAATCTCTTATATTGGTTTTGTATTGTTGAATTTAACTTTGAAGCATGTTTACTGTTTGTTATCTTCACATTTTAGGGATATTTCACCGTGCAGCTGCAGCAGGGGGCGTATGTGAGCGCTATAGGACAGTACGAGAACAGGGAAGAAGTATACAGAAGAGCCTGAATACCGGGATAGTAAACTTTGATATTTAGAAATATACATGGAGTTTTAAGCTTTGAAATGTGCGTTTTGGGGTTAAGGGGACTAACGATATAAATAGAAATTTAATTAATCATTAACTACAGTTGAATCTCGCTATTTAGAATACAAATATATCGAATATTACGTAATACTTGATTTAAGTCGAAGGGAATATACAGTCCATCTCTTCCCAGAGACTCTGTCACTGCTTTCACCTAAGTATAATCATTTTTAAAAAATATATTTCTATCATTTTCGAAATTTTGCTTGCATTCTTAACAGAGTACCACAACCATTTTTTGAATACTATGTTATTCGGATTAGCAATATGCAAAATCCATAATACGTATTATATTTCTCATTATACCTCATACAACGCGTTATCTGATTGGTTCTAGATTATCACGTGACAGGGACACAAAACTTCATATTTCCATGTATTCGTCATTCTTTTCATCATATTCAACCTTTTCGGAGACCTAGTGCATTTTCCCGCAATAGTCATCGTTCGTTGAACGAAAACTCCAGAGAATAGTAGATGTCACAATAGTCTGGTTCACGTAACAAAATTGCTAATGGACTTGTGTAAATTGTTTCAGTAACACTTTGTTAAAATTGAAAGTGAATTTGCCGAATTTGAAGATTTAAGTTTACACGGTATTTAAAAAAAAAACAACAAAAAACAAAAACAAAAACAAAAACAAAAAAAAACTTTTGAAAGCGAATTTGCCGAAATTGAAAGTTTATGTTTAGATCTAAAGTTTTTACTTGTTTTGGTATAATAAACAATTTATTGGATGAATGTTCGGGAAACATGAAGATTTATTCAGCCAAGAAATATCATATTCCCCTCGGGCAAAGCCTTCGGGGAATATGATTTTTCTTGGCTGAATAAATCTTCATATTTCCCTCACGATCATCCAATAAGTGTATAGTATCATGATATCAATTCAGCTTTTTAATTATATTTTCATTCCTGTATTCATTGCAATTTTTAAAATGTATTTAATTTTTTTGCTGACTCTATTTATTGATTTATTGATTATTTGCTGATTTATTCATCAACTATTTGATTTATTAATTTATACATTATTTTATTTTCAGCATGACAGTGGAACTATTTGTGCTCCAGGTGGAGATCCAGGTAACTTTATCATGTATCCAAGCGCAACCAAGGGTAACCGTCCTAACAACGACCATTTCTCCAAGTGTAGTAAGGAAAACATCACGTTAGTCTTAGACGCCGTAGTGAACGGCAGGAACGGGAAATACAACTGCTTCAAATGTAATTGGTACCTTATCTTCTCTCTAACAGTAAAGGAAATATAAGTGTTAGACGCTGTAGTAATAGTCAGAAACTGGAAATACAATAACGTTTTGCTGTCATTTGTTTTGCAACATCTAATCCTTTCTTCACATTTTTTTTTCTTGACGCAGAAAATTAATATTTAAGTTGATAATTACATTTGTCAAGTAAAGATACATACATAATTATTCTAATCTATTACATTTAGTGACCTTTGAGGTTTGAATTGAATTGATTGAGAGAAGTAAAATACTAACATATAAAAATAATTTTTTTCTTTTAGCATCGAACTCGGCATTCTGTGGTAACGGTATAGTAGAGGAAGGGGAGCAGTGTGATTGTGGCTATAAAGATGATTGTACAGACAATTGCTGCCACCCTCGGAGCAGCGATCCAAACGACAAACAGATGTGTAAATATAAAGATCCTTACAAACAAGTACCAAAATCCGCTAGATCATAATTGAAATAAGTTTAAAAGTTTTAAGGTCTCTGTTATGAAAAAGGATATTCTTTCGTTTTAAATTTCATCATCAGTTTAAAATTATCACATTCTCATCTTTTATCTTACTGTAATTAATTTCCACTCTCTATATATCACAAAAAGCCTCTATTTCAGAAGGATTATTACAATAAGATGTGTATTTTTAGTCCAACTGAAGGCCCATGTTGTACAGACAAATGTGATTTTAAACCAGCAAATATGATGGTTTGTCGAGCTGCCACGGACTGTAGCGAAGAGCAAAAATGCAAATATCCTTTTCTACATAAAAAACATAAATCAAACTTTTCTGTAATTTACGTTAAATATTTTTGTTTAAGAAAAATATTATTACAAATTTAATCAGGAATTTTTCAATGCATTAGTTATATTTTTTTGGAAAAAATAAAAAAGAACAAACACGAGAAAATTATATTAAAAGAAAACATGCCTGAGGAAGTACTGAGATTTAAAAGAACAAGCAAAAATGAAACTAAATCTTTTGGTATTCAAATTCATGCGTTTTAGTTCAATGTATCTCACAACAAATTTATATTTCCTTGAATGTTTATTCGTACAATGTTTTTTAAAAACGTTGTGAAAAAAAATTGATATCAGATAGTGCATGCAAAAAAAGTATATTTTAGTAGATTTGGTTGTTCATATTAAATCTAAAATAATTTATGAGTATTGATTCTTAACTTCTTCACCGGAAGTAGCGCAAAGTGTCCAATTCCTAAAAATAAAGAGGATATGACGTATTGTAACGATTATACTCAAGTCTGCATAAAGGGGGTAAGAATGGACAAACTAAATTTTTACATACATAGTTTTATACATTGTAATTAAACTGAACTTATGAAAAATTCAAATATCTATTAAGAATAAAGCCAGTTTTCAAAATGAGTAGAACTCCAAATTGTATATAAGGTAATAGACTTTCTCAATCCGTACAATATAAAGTGAGATAATTGAATCGTTGGATTTCCTGACCTACCTGTTAAAAAAAAATTACCTGTTCCAGGGTTTAGAAAATAGCCAAGTTTAAAAGCAGTACATTAAAAGTATATTAAGCCTCCTTATTAGAAAAAAAACCTTATTTGTCATCAAAACTTGTATTATAAATCTTTTATATATATATAAGTCCTGATATTCAGCCTCCATGTTCCAGTGATTTGTAATAAACCACCATTTTGTCCCTAAGCGCTTAAAAGGACCTCCTGTAAATGCAGTCTACTTTTTATAATGCTTTTTAATACACCACATTTTTCCCTTAGGTATGTGAAGGGTCCCTCTGTAAAAGAATAGGTTATAACCATTCTTCACATGCTCACTGGAATTCTACGTGGGATGATTGTTACATTGGAATGTCGGGGTCTCTCTCTGTTGAACAGAAAGAAAAATTGTGTTACTTATCTTGTAAACCAGGTTTGTAGTTTTATTTCATTCTGAAATTCAGGAACACAAAATTAAGATGTTTGATTTATCTAATTGCAATACCGTTATCCGGCCTCACAATATAAAAGTGGCGAGGCGAGAAACGACACTCATGGTTTTCATCTTCAGCGTTTTCATACATGTATCTATATTTTTCTCAGTTTGAAAGCAAAAGACTATTCTTGTTTAAGTTTTCCAAAACTTAATGACGTACTCCTTTATTTCGCTAACTCTGTCCAATCAGAATAGAATGGAACTTTTTTCTTTCCTTTTTTTTTTCATTAATATGAAGTAAGAATGTGATAATAATCATTATTTCTTTTCTTTAAGATGCCAATGACACGTGTTACGTCTCGGAGGGCCAAAAAGGAATTCCAGATATATTCAGTAACCTAGTTAAAGAAGTAAAGAATAAGAGAGGAGATAATTCACCTATTTCGGTAGCTTCAGGTATATATATAGTTTATGATTTAGAAACACATATACAAACAAACATCAGATATATTAAACACAGCTACAAAGACAAGGCCATAACAAACACAAAAGAACAAGTAAACTATCTATATAATCAAAACACATTTTTTTTACAAAAAAAAAAAAAAAAAAAAAAAAAAAAAAAAAAATAGATTAAACACAAATTTACGAAAAGCTACTCACCAATTCATTAATGTTTTCTATGGAAGTCACAAACTTAAGATATCACAATTAAAAGGATCTAGTAAACGTTATTTATAATGTTTTTATTACAGAAAAAAAATTTATCAAACATACAGCAAAAGAGAAAATTTAATTTTTATTCATAGCCAGATAATCTGAAAAAGCTTTTAGATACACAAATATCAGTATAGGTTCAAATTTTCATATGGATACAAATAGTGCTAGAAAACTTTAACAAAGTTCAACACATCCGATTCAAGACCTGCATTGGTTTATAGGACTGGCCGGTATATCGGTAATCGGATATAATTATAAAAGATACCGTTTTATGTGTTTTTAGGGATTGGCCAAATATAACAATTTTATCGAATTTATAAATAACGTTATCAATCTTAGCAATTTCAGGAATAAATTTATTCATTGTTCTTGGGAAATATTTTTTTTATTTAATTATAGGCTGCATTATAATTAGCCCTGCCAAGACTTTTGCTAGTAGTCCCAAAATGGTATGGTGGCTTAAATCCCATCATACGGTATTGATAATAATCTTAAGAGTTTTATATCATTTATAAAACACTCTCTAGCGCAAATCTAGTACAAAGTAGCGGTAACAATTATAAAATTCAAATAACTTTAACAAAAATGCAAATATTTCAACTATATACTACGTCCAGAGCAAAGGAGGTTAGCGATTGAGCGATCAAAGTAATATTAAAACTAATAAATTTAATATTCTGTAGGTAAAAATATATTTATTTCATAAATGTAATTAAGAAAAACGAATTTGTATGCACATGACCATTAAAAATGATAATAATACATATTTTCTATATAAAATTATATTTAATTTAATTATTTTGTTTATTTAACGATTATATTTAATTTAATTATTTTATTTATTTAACTATTTACTTGTTTACTGATGTAATTATCAACAAACATATGTATTTATTTACGACTATGAATAAGTAATTTTTTGTAAATATATAGGTACACCCTGTAACAAGTATAAAGGGTATTGTGACATATTGTTAGTTATTTTTTTTTATGTTTGTGAATATCTTAGATACAATATATAACAGCTATTGAAGGTATTTTGACGTTTTTGATGCATATATTAGGCACACCCTGTAACAACTATCAGGGCTATTGTGACGTATTCCACAGATGTAGAGGCGTGGATAACGAGGGTCCTCTGGAACGACTGAAAAATTTGATCTTTGGAGAAGAAACTCTTACCACAATTAAAGACTGGATCATTGTATGTAAAGACGTCATAACTTAGTGATTGTGTGTTATAACAAAACAAATTTAATCACTCTTCACAATTGCGTCAAATTATTTTTTTCTTGTTTATAACAGTTCTTAAGACTAAGATAATTTTGATTTCCTAGCTTTATAAGGATATCAATTCATTGTAAAAGGTTATTCACAACAAATTAAAATATTATAGAGATGAAATATATGGAGATAACGAACAATATTCAAGATCAAAAATTCTTTAATCAATACAATTTTTGGAGCAAACACGGACCACTAAAACATCAGAGGTGGGATCAGGTGTCATGGAAGAGTGAGCATCCTCTGCCAACCGGTCACCCGCCGTGTGCTCCTTGACATGATCGGGAAATCAGGGAAAAATCCGTCGACAATTCAGTGTGTAAATAATGGCCTAACAATGTTGCAAGGTTGTTAGGTCATATATAGCTTAACTACATTTTAAAGATTTGAAATGGTTTTGTCTTAGTTCTAATATCTTTTGTGGAAAGGTCTACAGATCGATTTATTTATTTTGCAATTAAGCTAATATGTGTTAGACTTCTTTGGCTTGACTGTTCTCTATAGATTTATCCCAAACTTAATTTTACCAAGGATGTTTACAAAATTTACAAATTTCTACGAAAATGTAAATGTATTTAGTATTTGCAAAAATAAGACATGCTTATATGTGAAGCACTGAAGTTCTAGAAAAGTCAATAACATTGAAACAAGAGATTTTTAACGCTTTTTTTGTAATAGTTATTGTGAAAATGTATTGTTTTGCAGAGTTTTTATAAGGCCCAATTATCCCATCATACACTTGTAAACTTGGAATAACTATAAATCTTAACCCCCACTCCCTTCTGTATTTTTTTTATATTCCTGTATTTGTCATGATTTGTGAACACTTTACGAGGGTTGTTCGGAAAGTTCACGGACCGTTTCAATCTTCGTTATACTATTTCCAAGAAATTAAAAATGAGCACATTATCATATGTCATTTTGTTGGTGTATGAAGTTTCATTCCATTCGATTCAATAGAAATTAATTTACTTAATTTTAAAATCAACATGTTTGGTAACCCCGGAGCAACATTATAACGTTAAAAACATTGCATCATGAGGTTCTCAAAATAATCTCCCTATACATTTCACATAGTCTGGCCCAATATCCACATACTAAAAACGTTTCTCTATCAATTGAAATTTATTTTGCTAACAATCCTTCCAGTAGCATAATTTTATTGTATTTTATGTTTTATTTTTTTTTAGCGCGTAAATGTGCTTTCACAAAATCAGCAACTGTGAAGTGCCTTTCTCTTTCTATGACCTAACCAACTTTAAGTGTTTGGATAGATTTTTACAGATAATCCATTTCCTCACAGATTGTCCTCGTCCCAAACAGAGTCTGTATCATTCAAATGCCCCCTGAGCCATTTACACACACATGCACGACAGGCTTTTGATATATTTCCCTTTCTCTTACATTTTCAGAGTTTATTCTGGAGTTTTCCAGATTACACACGAAATTGTATCGTAAACTGCTGCTCCGTGACGTTCTACGTCACCTTTTTTTGCCTTCTTTACCCAGGACTACCTATCTTCTGAAATTGATTTCTTTTCCACGAAGCAATCTATTAATTCATAATTTGAAATATGAAACGATGAAACATTTTTTTTATTCTTTCGTCTAGAAGTTTTTGCGTTTTTGTATCATTTTTAGAGGATATGACTACAGACATTATTTAGGGTATTGTTTGTAAATTACAAAGTTTTGACCAGCTCCGCGACCCGATTTTTACAGTTTTAAACTCTGAATAAGTTGGAAATAAATTATAATATCTCTAAAATTTATAATAAAAATCATTTGAATTTAATGTAAAAACATTTCTACCAAACCTTGATATAATATGACGTTACGTAAAAAAGATATGACAGAAGTCCGCGAACTTTCCGAACAACCCTCGTATTTTTGATACTAAACTATATATTGAAGCAAAAACAGTAGTATTTTCCAAAGAACTTGTTTTTATTTTTACAGGAAGAACAGTGTCTCCATCTGGCATATCTACACAGTCTGTTTGTTTTTACCGGAGCATTGGTGGGGTGTGATGCTTACTGTGTTCTGTTAATTTTTTTACAGGAACATTGTTGGGGTTTGATGCTTATTGTAATCGGGGGCGTCAGTGTTAGGGTTAGGGTTAGCAGTGGTGGGTGTGATGCTAACTGTAGTCGGGGTCGTGATTTTGTTTATTTTTACAGGAACACTGGTGATGTGTGATGCTTATTGTAGTCGGAGTCGTGATTCTCTTTATTTTTACAGGAACATTGGTGGGGTGTAATGCTAATTGTAGTCGGGATTGTGATTATGATGGGCGTCTTCATCAAAGTTTGCTCTGTTAACACACCGAGCGAAGACCCAAAGCTAAAGAAATTCAGGAAAAAGGTTGGTATCTTAACATTTATGTGTAATCTTAACGTATAAAATCAACAGAGAAAATTCAAAAAATCAGTTGCAATACAAATCTGTTTTAAAAAAAAGCTACATAGATTCAGAAAATGAAATATGGAGATAACAAACAGTATTCAAACTCAATAGTTCATAAAAACAATACAAATCAGGAGCAGAGTAAACACGGACCTCTAAAACATCAGAGGTGGGATCGGGTGCCATGGAGGAGTAAGCATCCCCTGCCGATCGGTCACACCCACCGTGTGCTCCTTGTCATGATCTGGAAAAAAACCCTGAAAAATCCCTAGAAAATTCAATGCGAAGTCAGCATTTGATTTATTGATGGATTGTATTTGCTGACAAACAAAAATGTTTCTTCATAAGAAAAATAATAACACTAGTAATGAAAAGTTTATGATGGTGAAAAAATTACATACATTTGTTTGATCATAAAATGAGCTTTAATAAAGATAATAGCTTTCATATTTAGAATAAAAAGGAAAGGGGGCCGGTGAAAAATCCAGGTCCATACTACATAGGAGGTAATAACAAAGGAAGAGATGACGGGAGGGGAGCAGTGGGGAATAACAGGCGAAATATGGAACTGAGGAAAGTCTAGACAAATATACAGTCAAAATGTCCAGAAATGTACAGTAAAAAAGTCCAGACATGTACAGTGTACAGTGAAACAAGTTTATAGCGCACATTGGCATTGAGCGGTCATGGACAATCCTGTTAAAATATTTTTTTTCACACAGCACTACAAATTTATGAGTACGTTAATTGGATAACAAAAAAAAAAAAAGAGATTATGAATCGGATGCAACCGTTTCTAGTAATTCGCTATAAACGTGTTTGACTATAAATTATTTTGTTTACATTAGCAGTTGTATATGTTTTGTAACTGATGATTTTATAATGTGCCAAATTCTGGTCAATGTTTTAACTTACTTGCTGTCTCTAGATCTAGAATACATATTTATTTCATTTTGTACTGAATGACAGATTTTCGAAAAAAGCATTTTGTTTGCTTTTATCTTACTTAAACTTATGTATATTAGAAAACATTATGTACTTATTATCAGATGTAAGAAATTTTGATTGTGTTTCTCGCTCTAATTGATGATTGCTGAATGTATAAATGAATGATATTTACGTAAATAGAACGCAATGTTTGTTGTCATCACACTGTTTATATAATCAGTCTTTAAGAGTTTGTTTCATATTCCGTTATTGTGCGAAAGGCATGCACTTTTGTTATGCTTTTTGAGATTTTTGTATAAAGAGATAATATATTATATATTATTGAGGATATAAAGATATATCATAAAGATGGACACGCTTATTTCTTTTGCTCAAATTCAATTTTTTTACACAGAAAATCTGTGTACGTTGTGATCCTACGCACAAAAACAAATTCATTTTCATTCCAACTCAAAAAACCATTCAGTTTGTAAATACCTCTCTACTGTGAAAAAAAAATCATTCAGTTTGGAAATACCTTTCTATAGTAAAAAAATCATTCAGTTTGGAAATACCTCTCTATAGTGAAAAACAGATTAGAGATGATGGCTATAGAATTGTGTCAGAACAATGCCAAAAGAAAAAAAAATAACTGTTGATTTGTAAGTCATTGCAAACTCTTGTGTAGAATTTTGTCATTTATGGTGATTTGTGTTGCAGATTAATTTTTCCTTCTTTCCAGCAGAGATTATTACATGTTTTACGAATGTCTTACTTCGGGGTGTTTATTTCATGCATGAATGAACTATATATCATGAAAGCTGTTTAAATATAAATTAAAGCATTAAATAAACATAGAAACCAGTGTCCTTATCAGTTTGTACAATTATCATACAGTGAACCAATGACGCAGGTTTATTTATTTGAGAATATTAACGGTTTTTATTTTAATCATCTGAAGAATAGAAGGGTGACAAATAGTCATATGAATATTTAAGTATGGTCAAAACATTGATCCCAAGGCTAGTGTATAACCACAATTAGGGTTATTTTTTCTTTAGGAAAGTGTTTCATAGAAACGTAAAAGAAATTGATGAATAATTCAACATTTAGTCATTTTGATGCCCGACCATCTCTATTTATTGTTTAATCAAGTTTGATAAAGTCAATGGTCCTAGGACAAAGGTGTAGTCTCTATAGAGGACAACAATTAAACAGGGGAATAACAGCGCCTATATTACTCATTTGGCTCATTTGCAAATTGCTTAAAATGTGTTACTAACATAAGATGTCAGATTTTCTAATTTTGATATATAATCTACCATAAGACGAGAAAATCCATAGGTTGCTATTATAGGAGACGTTCTTGCAGATGTATAAGCTAAATTTCTTTTCACATGTTTGATTCGCACGCCCAGGAAGAAGATTTATGTTTGAGGATCCTGTGAACAATAAAAACTTTGAAGCTTATCCTCTGAATGTATATGTACTTATAGAATTATCTGAATAAAAACAGTGTATTTCAGTGTACTACAACAGTGTCCTCAATATTACGCTAAACAATGTAAGGCTGATGGTAGACATTGATGTAGGAAAATAACCCTTCAATGTTAATCATATACATCCCTATAAAAACCACTCAAATGACCTACTTGTTAAGTACAAATTATTCTCATGTATGTCTGAATACTGTAAAACATTTTATGTACTTTAAAAAGTGAAAATAATAAGATATTTTAAAATCCAGGTATAATTTTTTTAATCCTTGTAATCATTGATATCGCGCAGTTTTCATGAATTCACTTTTTTCATTAATATATTTGCAGCAATGAATCTATTGTCTTTGTAATGATGTGATGATAGAGCAATACAAACAGGATGTAGTTGTCTCCTGCATGGCAGACTTACATGACGCAAAACATCAAACATCTCTACATATAAAGAAGCTTAGAATAAATCTAAACAACAAGGAAGATTCAAATAGGGCAAGGAAACAGGAAATAAGAAATCTGCATTTACCATGGGAGATACAAATCTCCGATACAGGAACGAGAAGCATATTCTTTTTTTTCAAACGTCCGCTGTATTTTCCATGTAAAGGAATTTGCCGTACTTCAAAGTGAACAATGAAACGTATAAGAAGCTTCAGAGTGAAGGAAGTGTGTAGAAAAATGATACCGTGTCTATTTGTATTGTCTGCTTTGCTACCTATCGTCACACCAGCGGGTAATTTTAATGGTAAGCCCTTGGTATCGTTATTTAAATTGCTAAATGGATTTTTTAATATAAATTATGTACATGTTATTCTGTGACTTTTTGACGCCTTGGTCTAAAAGATGGAATGATTTTTATTAGCAGAAAGAGTAAGGAATTTATACATTAATGTTTAACCCGTGCTTGTGCCATCTGTCTTCATACTTTTTCTTCTCCTCTACAAAAAATATACATCTTTTATGTTGTTTATTTCAAGTATCAAACATATGAAATATGGAGGAGTGAACATCCCCTGTCGACCGTACACACCCATCGTGTGCTCCTTGTCATGATCGGTCAGACACCTACTTATTTAAAGGTGCTTGAGAATGTACTAAGCACTGTATTGCATGAGATATCACTGTATCCTTATGTTGCATAACATTTTTCAGTATGATTTTCAATCCCTACACCATAAAGATATTCATCATTCTAGAGTAAAACAAGTTATAGCGAACACGCTTATAATTAATTCACGCTTATTGCGAAGTGATTTTCAGTCCCGGTGGCTTTAAAACGTATTGTAATATTAACGGTTATAACGAATTACGTTTATAACGAATTGAAATTGCACATCCCAGGCTCTTCGCTATAAGCGTGTTTTACTGTATTACAATCTTGCAAGAACGATGACATAACGATCAGCTTTTTGTTTGTATATAATACAAACATTTCTTCTTTTTAGGTTGAAGCAGTGACATAAAAAAAACCTATCTCTTACGGATTTCTTTTTTCTTTACTTTCCCCTTTTTTTCATTCTCCTTTATCATCATTACAAATCTTTCATTTTGTACATTTAAATACATTTGTTATTGTATTCATTTCATAAAATATGGAAAGTCAAGTAGTCGAATGTATAATTGCAGTTTTTATATATATGTTTTAGTTTTGTTTTTCTCATTTCAGTTGAAGTGGTAACTAATATAACAAAAATAACAGAGGGAGAAAACTTTATCATCAGATGCATTGTGTATGGAATACCTGCTCTACACTTCTTGGATTCCTCAAATGCTTCCGTCGATTGGATATTTCAAACCAATAACAGGATTGTAATTCTTGGCCAATTTCCAAAAAGATTTTATCAACCAAAATACGAAATACAACCAGATGAATGGAATATAACATCTGTCGATAATACTTTGCAGAATGCCATAAATCTTACCATTGTTATTAATGGTAAGTTAGAAGATGAAGACTGGCAATATATATTTTTTAATGCGGTGTTGAAAATATTACAGATGAGTAAATATATTTTTCAAGTTTTATGCAATTAAGGTCCTTTCTTATTTGTTTATCATGGCAATGAGCACACGGCGGGTGTGACCGGTCGGCAGGGGATGCACATTCCTCCATGGCATCTGATCCCACCTCTAAATTTTGAGGTCCGTGTTTGCTCTGCTCCAAATTTATATTGTTTCAGTGGTCTTTTGAGATTGAATACTGTTCGTTATCTTCATATTTCATTTATAGTGTATGCAAATTCAGTTCATTAATATTGAATTAGACATAGCGATGTGTAGTCACACTGAAACACTGACATCGCACTAAAGTCTAGAATGATCCATGGGAAAGTTGTAAATTAAGCTCCGAAATTAAAAACAAATCTGACCGGTCGACAGGAACTGCTCAATCTTCCCTGGCACCTGATCCTACCTCCTCTGTTTTCAGAAGTCCGTGTTTGCTCTGCTCACGATTAGTACGTGGGTCATTCAAAAAATACGTAGACAATATCGCTCTTTTTTTGTTACAATGTGACGTTAAATAAAAATCTTACGACAAAAGTCTACGAACTCTTTGAATGACCCTCGTATTGTTTGATTGGACTTTGAGCATGATTACTATTCGTTATCTTTACATTTCATTCCTAAATTCACAGTTAAGGTAGTCAGGTTCTGAAAATCAGCAATTAAACAACTGAAAATGCTCAGCAAAATATCACTGAATTCACATATTTGTATGAACCCATGTTATGTCTTCATTGCTCATCATTATAGCTAATAATATTATATAGGGAGAAGTAATATACATGTATATATATTTTCTGGAAACGTAAATAAAAACCCCAGTTATGCATTTTCTAATTGAAAATTAATCAGCAGATACATTTTAGTATGAAAAAAATGTAGGTATCTAGGCATTCAGAAAAAAAATTGCATCTTTATATAACTATGTAGTATCTAAGTTCTTTTATTAACTAATTCTTATACAAAACATAGTATAAAAAGCCTGTGGTATCATCGCAAATATCTCAAATCACTTAAAATTTTATTTCATGCTAATAAACATTGGTATCTAAGGCAAGATTAAAGGAATCTTGATTTCTCTAAAGATATACATTTTTGGTACTTTTATGGAGTGCAAATGACTATTTATTACAAGACCGTTTCTAATACTTCAAAGAGCATTAAATTATATTAAAAAATGCATGAAATTTCGATTGTTGCAAAAAAAAAATAATAATAATAAAAAAAAATTAAGAGTTATTGTTCCTGGCTAAGGAGCAGACTTCCTTAATTACAATGACAGTGTCAAGTAATTACATCCGAAGATACACTTTTAATTGTAGAGGTAACTGAAAAAGACAAAGGAATTTACAAATGCGTGGTTTCCATGGGGTCTGAGGTAGTTAGAAAAACCCTTAACTTAACAGGTGAGAGTTAAGCTTAATCACTGAATAATTCAGATAATTATAAGCCATATATTTCGTATTTCGGACAGAGGATGTTTACTCCTCCATAGCACCTTATATCACTTCTTATTTTTTCTGATTTCCACGTTGGCTCTGTTCCAGTGTGTATCAAAATTGATAACTGATCGTAATCTTCATAATTCACGGCAGAAGTAAAAAATAAATAACACAACAATCACAGAATTAAATCAATTTCTAGAGATATCTCCTGTTTTTATCGCAATCTTAGAGAAAAAAAATTCTACATGTCGATCTTTTTGTGTCAATTTACATTTCAGATATCTAACTGTCAAATCTTCGACCTCTCTTTTGAACTCTGCCGAGAAATTAATTGAAAAAAATATTCAACGTAAAAATGCCTTCATTCCCGTTGTGCAAATGATTAACAATCAACACTGCGAATTTTTCCTGGTATTTCATTTATTACAAGCAAATGCATTTTATATATTAAAAAAAGAAGCAACAAATCCTCTTACCCTTTGATCTAGTTTTGCCTTTATTAAATTTTTGCATATAAAACAACCAAATATCAAAGAATTCTCTTGTATTTATTGCATTTTTACATTTCAAAGTTTAGTGACGGATAAAACATTTCGATTTCTATTTTTCCTCATTAAGTTCATTGATAAAACTGAAAACATTTCTTATATTGATGATTGATATTTTTACAGATGAAACTGCCAACACTTCTCTCGTGTTCATTGACTACGAAGTGCCAAGAGAGGAGGCCGATAAGAAGTGTTCTTTCTATGGCTTTAAGAAGCCAGACAACAAGGCAACAGAGCATGATCTTAGTTCTATCATGGAATCTAATGAAACGGTGTGGACGCTTACTGTTGACGACAGAGATGTTTTCGTAAGGCATCGTCAATGGCTTTCAATCAGAGGTAGGCATTCTCTTCGCTCTTTAACACTTAATTCCTCACCTGTACAAAAATAAAAACCATGTGATTAGAATGACCATAAACCTTTTTTAAATTCAGCATTTTGTGTATTCTATGGTCGTTATAATGACCTTTTAAACAAATATAACCCATCATTTGGACGTATTTTAGCTGACTTGTTTCATACCAATTGTTAGGCCTTTGTTTTTATATTAAATTTGACTACGGAATATTCCGCCTACCTGATATTACATACGGGTCATGGCGGGAGTGACCAGTCAACAAGGAATGCTCACTCCTTCTAGACACCTGACCTCTGGAATTTTCAGGGACCGTGTTTTATGCCCTGCTCACAGATATGTATTTTTATAGATTTCTTTTAGATCGATCACTGTTTGTTATCTCCACCTTTTCCATAAGAAAGAAATAATGGAGACAGCAAGCAAGGGCAGTATAGTTGTAACTTTACCTCAAAGATTATTTGCAGGCTCAGTTGTAATTATATCATTTTATGAAGACAAAATAGCTTTCCCTTCTGCTCACATTTAACATAACGTTGGAATTTATTCCATTTTCATTTATTTTTTTTTCCTTGGACAAATACTCTTGTATTTTTAGTGATCCGCTGAAGATTAACTTCTTTGATGAAGTTTATATTTTAAGATTTTTTTTATCTGATGGATACTCTGAAAAAAAAAAATCGTCTCTCTTTCTTAAGGGGCTAACTGGGGTTTTCATTGCGCAATACTTCGCGCAGCATAGTAAAATAAAGCGTATTTACTCTTTTAAAGCAACCATTTTTTACATAATTTATAAATATTAACAAATTTAGGAAACCTCAGGTTAAAAAATCTAATTATGTTTTTAAATAGCTATTTTTTTAACGATTTTTCAAATGATGGATAGATAAACGTCATATTAGTGTGTTTTGACGTTATGAATAACCGCAGTTCTTTAAGCGGGTCATTAATTATGTCATAAACTAAAAAATATAAAATAGATGCTCTTGAAATTTTTACATGGGAAATTGAGAATCTCGCAATCATTTTTATTATTTTTAATGTAAATATGTGGTATATGTCATGTTTTGTTGTACTCCATAAAAACAGGAAAATATGAATTTTGACATTTTGAGATGCCCCCTCTGAAAACAGACGGTAGAATTTTGTGTTTCTTGCACGAAATGTACAATATTGTATTACCCATCAAATAATATAATTTGAGCAAAAAGTATAAAGTAGCATTGGTATAATTTGCTCCGAAGTGCGAAAAAATGGTATTTTCCTATATAGTCCTATAGTAAATGTAGCTGTACAAGTATTTTGAGATGGTTGCTAAAATTAACCAGATGGTAGATTTTCACTAAACTTGGGATGTATACGGAAGTCAATGTTAGGTACATATGGTATAAAATTAAATGATTTCTCTATAGTAGTTTTCACACAATAAAACCCCAGTCGGTTCCCTTAAAACAAAAATTAGGTTATCGCAATAAATGGAAATGGATGTCCAGATTCCAAAAATTGAAAAAAAATATTCCAACTTTAGATGATATTGATAATTTCCAAGGTTATTATCAGTTTGACCTTTATAATTTTCGTAATGCAGTATACATTTAAGTCCTTTGTAACTTATTTATAGGCTGTCATCATCTAAATCTGACACACAATGGTGAACTGCACAACAACTGTAATCTTGTATTTGATTCACCGGACAGGATGATGAGTTCATATATTGGAATACATGTACGTGTGGTCTTTTCATGTATAATGTTTGATCTCGTTTATGTTTGAATTTTATATTTTAAAAAGATATTCGAAACAGGACAGAACGCTGAATATTACTAAGGAAAACTTTGATAAAGGTTGTATTAAACATCTAGGGCAATTCCTGTTATTGACAGAACATAAAGAGATGTCTTGCTTTGTTTCAATTAGTGGTTTATTTCTCTGAATAATGGTGTTACAATACTGATTTTTAAAAGAAATACTCATTACTAAAAATTAACAATTAACGAATTATCAGAGGCCATGTTTGAAATTTATGCAAAAGATTATTTTTAACAATATGCTTTCAATATTTCTGCCACATTGTACCAAAATAAATCTTAGGCAACAAAACCATTTCAAATTTACTAAAAGTTTCATCTAAGACTTTTTTTATTGCAAAAAATTTCAATCTTATTTGTTCTGGTTCAGATTTAGCCGAAAAAAAATCTATTATGCTACAATTTCTAAACAATATTTAGTTAGGTTCTTCCTAACAGTGATTTATTTTTCACGTTTCCAAAAATATATTAATTCTAGTTTAATTCAAATCGCTGATTTCCTTTAATTGAATTCTCTTTCTTGTTTGAAAGCATGTCTAGAAAGTCATGTCAATTTGCCAGGATTACTTATTCATTTATGTAAAAAAAAATGGTAAAATTGTTACTATGGTTCTCTTAATACTGCAGAACACTTCCTGCTATGTTATACCAGAGAATATAGAAGAATTTGAGAAAAAGCAGCTTCCAGAATCACTGTGTGATTGGCGATGTACTGATGTGATTGAGACTTCATGTGGCGGAACAGAGGCAATCTCACTATACAAAGTCATAGATGGTTATATATTTATTTATCATTAAATTAATGCCTGTATGATTTTCAATAAAATTTTCAAAGTCAAAAAGAAGTAATAAATTATATATAGGGAATAAAATCATTCGCATTTGATAAATTTCAGTGACTTACAAAAGTTTTTCGGGGTTTAAACCAACCCATGAGGAACAATGCAATGCTTTGTATCTAACTGATGTTGATCTACCTTATCAAAGAATTGCCTGCCTAAACACTTCAACGTGCACAACTCTGTGTTTACAAAGTAAGTTATATCTGTCAAAAAAGTTTATATATAGGAATACTGACGTCCTTCAATATATCCCATGTAATTTCAATGATATAGCGTGTTTCTTGGAGAATTTTCTATAGTCCAGGTCGATGAAGAACATTTGTTTCAATTCAATCCTCATGCGCATAAAAAATAAGGAATGGGGAATATTTTATGGGATAAATTGTCCGTCAAATTCAAATTCTGGGCCAACCGTGAGTTTTCCTCTTATTGTTGAACCCAGATTCATAAAACCTCCAATAAGCCAACACGCGTTATAGTTTTAGTACTTTTATATAGAATCAGCATTGAACATACTTTTACATGAGTTTGGGGTGTATCAGCACCGAAGGTCTGATTCTAACTGACCATAATTTTTAACAACAAAACATACATATTGAACAATGATAGAACAAAATAAAAGGATTAACAATTAAGAAATCAAGCATTAAATAATTATTGAGCGAATGATGACATTTAAGCGACATGTATACAATGGAATTAAAGTAGATTAAAGATTAAGTGTCAATAAATATAAACAGAAGTCAATTAAGGGATTAAGTGTCCATCTCTGATTGTGTCTCGGATGGGATTAAGGCTGTGCAGAATTTATAGAATTAAACACATTTGCGGAAATATACGAAAAGTTTTAATAACAATTTACACAAAGTCCGAAAAGTTAATTCACATAGTAATTTATGATAATTCCAAAAAGGTCATATTTTACACCGTAACATATATAATGTTTCGATGAAAACTCATTCTGGTTTTTAAAATAAATATCAGCTAGTTTCTTCTGAAATTCCGAGTTGAAATGCTTCCTTTTACCTATCATGTGCTTCCCTCGAAGTATTTTGGTAAAAGACTCTAATATATTGTCGGTGTTTTATAAATATTTTGCATGGTCCCTAAATGTCAATCTTTTCTTTCAAATAAAGTCTATGTCTTATGGTATAATAGATCTTTTTTAATCTAATAATCATTATTAACAGGTATTAGAAATAACATTGACGAAATTACCCTAGTCAACAAGTATCGTAATTCTAATACAACTGAATGGATGAAGGCTTGGGAATCGTGTGTTGAACATAACGCCAGTCTTCCTGACGAAAGAGGAAATTTTTCTTATGACTTTACTGAATTTCCATGTCTTGGAGTAATAAAGAGTACTCTACTGATATTCAAAGGCAAGTATATCTTGTCAGTATACCTAATCTAGAAATACAACTTAATATGGTGATTTATTCCTCAATATATTATGCTTGTATATTCTCTTGAATTAAAAATTTTAGATATCGTTTTGAAATGCTTTAAGTATTTCTCTTAAATTGAAATCTGTTTGATGTCGATTTGGAATATTATTAAGATTGTTAATGGTCCCTAAAGACATTCCGATAAAGTGTTCATTGTGTGTTGAAGCTCAAATTTGTCTAAAAAATCTATAGCAAAATGTGCTGAGAAATGTTATCAAAACCATATAAATATTATAAGGTTTACATCAGTATTCCGTTGGGGCTAGAGAAGATATATATACCCTCCTATCTTCCACTTCTAAGAACAAAATTGATGAAAAGGAAACATCTTTTTTATCATTCAGTACAAAAGACTTTACAACAATCATTAAAAAAATCATCCAACACATAGATGCATTTACAACAATCATAAAAAAATCATCAAACACATAGATGCATTTACAACAATCATAAAAAAAAATAAATCATCCAACACATAGATGCATTTACAACAATCATAAAAAAATCATTCAACACATAGATGCATTTACAACAATCATAAAAAAATCATCAAACACATAGATGCATTTACAACAATCATAAAATTATCATCTAACATATAAATTTGTTTTTTTTCTAATTTACAACATTAGTATGGAACTTACGATATTTAAGGGTTCTAAATCTCAGATAAAGTTATAAGATCAAGTCTCACGATAACTCAAACTATCAACTTATTCGACAGTAAGTTTTACATCAATGAAACTATTAACTAATGAATTATAACATTACAGTATTATTTAATTATAATTACAGTATTATTAAATCATTTATATATTAGTTAATACTATGGGAAACTATAGAAAATCAGTGAACAAAAGTATTTTTACGAGGGTTGTATCAGTTTTCAGTGTTTAGTTTGGCTACTGCCATGCTGTATTTTCTATAGTATAACTGCATTGTCCACGGGGCAATGCTTTTGGTATGGACATAGAAAGATCTGAAATTTACTGTATAGTATTCAGTCACGGGGGTCATATTTCAACGGATTTGCATTTGCTGTTTAATCCTTGGGAACAAATATAAAATGCAGTACTTTCATAATGTCTCCATTAATTTACAAACATAAGCCATTTCAATGCTTTTGCTCTGCTTCCGATTTGCATTGTTTCAATGAACTTTTGAGCTTGATTACTGTTCTCATTTCATCTACAAGTAAAACTTCCCTACGTAAACCTCACCTAATTAGTAAAAATTATATTTCCTCAAACTGTGTACATTTGAGTTATCAGCTTCATTCTACATAACGTATTCGTCATTCAAACATTCTATCTAAACGTGTTTTACTGTGCGTACTGTTTTTTTTAGTTATATGTCATTAAACAAACATTGAGATTTCATCCCTAATTGTTGTGATCCTGGTGAGGCCTGTAATTTTATGGCAAGTACCATTTGTTTAAGATAAAAACATGCTTGTTATGTTTATTAATATTTAAGTTACGTTAAATTTGTACATTAATTCGTCAATCAAATATATTTTTACAAATTTAACGACCTATAAATGCAAACTGATCGTCGTCTTATTTAGCAAATACATTCCATCTTTAAGTCGAATGTTGAATAGTTTTAAAGGCAATCTGTTTAGCAATTATTCACACACTGGATTGTCTCCGGATTTTCCGTTTGCCTGATCATTACAAAGAATACAAGGCGATAGTAGCCATCGACAGAGAATGTTTACTCCTTCGTGGTACCTCTGATGTTTTTAAAGATCCCTGATTGCTCTGTTGAACAGAGTCTGTTCCCAGTTTGTATTGCTCCAATAACCTTATGAGCTTGATTAGTGTTTGTTATCTTAATATTTCACTAGAAATGAAAATGCCATGCTTTTGACTATGTATATATAGTTGAGCATTTTAGTCCGTTATGATGATATTTTGCGGAAATATGTATGCGTGCCCACAGAGTAAGCGGAAATATGTCCCGCGTGGAAAAATTACGTGTACATTATTACAATTACGTTGACCATGCTTTTTCATCGATCTGACCTCTGTTCCGTGCTGTTGCTTGTTCGCTATTCGTATTCCTCTTTTAATTTATGAGATTGGTTACTGTTCTTAATTTTCTACTTTTACATCCAAACATCTTTGTCTATTTCATATGTCCCCTCTTTCACAAAATCTCTTCCGAAAGTAGCTGTCGAAAGTTTAAGAATACCTTTGAAGTGTAAGTTTGAGAAGTCCTGACTCGTTCTTGATGTTCATCATTCCTGAATTAAAAATTATATACTGTGTGTGTGTGTGTGTATGTGTGTGTCTGTGTGTGTTTGATAGCACAAAACCCGTTTCAATAGCCGTTTCAAATAATACTAATAAATTATCTTAGATGAAATATTCATCATAGATTGTTTGAAAACTTAATTCCCATTGATTAAATATTTTACCTGATTTTTATTTACTTGAATGTATATTTTCCTACAATGGATATTTAGTTGCTGTAATGATAGACTTCGTTTATTTATTTTAACAGAAAGGGCACTCGGTGTTCTCAGCAAGAAGGGAAATGGCAGCATTGTTCTTGAATCTACGACTGGAAGAAGGGAAAAGTTTCCGTTTATTTGCGAATTATTAATTGAACCAGCTGGTAAACTACCTTTTATAAAAATTGTCTAAATTGTTACTTTAATTGAAATGCATAGAGATATAAAACGTAGATTTCTTCATTTGATTCACAGTTCAAAGGAGCGATTCGGACAAATCAAAGACAACAAGCAATTTTCAAGTCGATCAGATGCAGGGTACAGTGTAGTCTATTTTTGTCTATGATGAAATTTTGAAATTTTTAAGACAAATGATTAGATAATAAATATAATTATATATAGAGAGAGAAATAATGTATAGCTTTTAAAGCTTGCTATTTTGGTTCTACGTCCAAACTTGACACTTTACGTATGTAATATGGAGATGACGAACAGTAATTAAGGTAATTAAGGTCAAAGGTCCATTGAAATCTAACATAAATCGGGAGCGGACAAACACGGACCTCTAAAAACATCAGAGATGGGATCAGGTGCCATGGAGGAGTAAGCATCCTGTGTCGATCGGTCACACCCGTCGTGTACTCCTTGTCAAAAGACAAACGGTAAATAATTGTCCATTATATTGAAACAACATAAATCGGGAGCGGAGCAATTAACATAGCTTGTAATGATCATAATGTTTTGTCTTTTTTTCTTCTAGTTACAGATTCCTTTAATATATTGATCATTATCATACCTTCGTTTTTGGGTCTGGTCATTCTTTTAACAGTGATTATCTGCGTCACTATAAGGTAAAATAACATTATTTATAAAAAAAATATCTATTGAAATTTATGAAATTAAAAAAAATAAAAAAATTGATTTAAAATTTTCATTTGAAGATACTTATTTTCATCACTGTACATCTAAATGTCAACAAATGATAGATCCCTGGGCTGCTTTATGATTTTACAGGTAAGCAGAGCAGTTTTCTCAAATTTATATTAATTTTTTTTCATTTGTATTGAAGACTGAAGAAAACAAAGAATAAAGAAAGGATAACCTCAGAAGAACCAAAAGACGATGTTGCAATGAAAGCTGTTTTAACAAATGAGAAAGAAGAACCGGAAGAATATGATGTTTTGAGACAACAGAGACAAACAACTCATAATGATCAAGATCTCTATGATCATGCAAAGGAACAGAGCAGTGGAATCTATGACGTCACAATCAGGGACCAGTCATTATTACATGATAAAACGATGACAGATAATATGTATGACAGTAGAATGAAGACGGCCATAAAACTTGATAATTGTGATATAGATTTATATGACGATCCAAAAAGGACAGGACAAGATACGTATGGCATTCCGACAACACTTCATAATGTTACACAAATCAGTGACAATAGGTATGGACACATGAAAGAGAATTAAAAGACGATTAAATAAATAAGATGTCCGGATCCCCCCAAAAGATACAGAATTTCATTTCAAAATAAGTCATTGATGATACCAAACTAACTGCAAAATTATTTATAGTATTCATAATGCACAATGTACCTCCGGGCAGAGATCACTCAGTGTCGTTTTATTCTGCAAAATATACGTCCGGATATATTGAATTCTGAAAAAGATTATATTATTTTAACTCTTAATTTCAGGTATGTCACTCCTGACATGGGTATATTAATGATATTTTTGAGAAGTATAGCAATCTACTCATACAGCATCAATCAAAATCGCAAAGGAGCAGCAGTACAATTAATTTGACCTTTCTGCACTTAAATTGTAACTTTAAGGTTAATCCTTTAAACCTTCATCTTTTCAACCAGATGTTATCATGCCAATAAGTATAACAGTACTCTGTGCAAAATAGTTTAGATCATTTTATTATTGAAAAAATAGTGCAAATTAATGCGCATAAAACGAGAACTTTCTGCATTAATAAAAATATCATATTTCGAGAATCAAAACGGCAATACAAATATTTTCTTACATCAAGCTTTTCATGAGCTTGTTGCTGATCGATTAGAAATTACCGTGGAATTTCCCCCCCCCCCAAAAAAAAAAAATGAAAAGTTGGGCCCAGTTATGTAAATCAATTGGGATAAATAGAGTCGACATATGAATGGATATAACTATTGTTAATTAATAATACGTCATCGATATATCCAAATGTCGAATTGGGCAATTGTGTTGATTTTGATTCCTTTCACCATTAGAAATAGTCCCCAATAAATTTTGTTTCTTATTGACTTTGTAAGCAGATTTTATATTGTATAATTTATATTGTATCACTATCATTTTCATTGTTTAATTCAAATTTGCAACGAAAACGAAATGATCAATACTTTTGACATAAGATGACGATTGACATACCTTAAGGTCCCATTTACTCTCTATGATTCATCACATACACAGTGATAAGGATTTTTTTTTCCTTCGGTATTTTATAGAGAAATAGTTGCATCATGACAAGGTGCAACGTCAGGTGTGACCGGTCTCCAGGGGATGCTCACTCCTCCATGAAACCTGATCCCACCTCTGTTTTCAGAGGTCCCTGTTTGCTTTGCTTACAAATTGTAATTGTGTAAATGGACTTTTGAGCTTGATTACCGTTCGTTATCTTCATTGAAAAAGAAAGAAAGAGCTTTTGACGAGACAGGCAACTCTCTTCTCAGTAAGATTAATTGCAAAAACAAGACAAAGATGTTCGCTTCCTTTATTTAAGTGAGTTTACCAGATTCTGCATTTGTTTTTTTTTTTTTTTTTTTTTACACCCTCTTGATTTTCATGTTGTAATATGTCATTACTATTAAAATAATTTGAATATTTTTATAACTTTTGGCGGAGTTTTACAATCATCACAAAATGTATAACAGTTAAATGTTTTGTTTTATTTTTGAAATCTTTTTACAAATGATCTTTGTACATCCATGTTTTTCTTAAATCTTGTGTTTTTTTTAATTAAATTTTATATCAAATTTAAATAACTGTTAATGTAAATAACTAGTTTTCAATAAATACAATGTAATATACATATTCGAGTATCTCATTAAATATATATTTGATCCTTTGTACTTATCAGATGCAATATTTACTCTGAACACTAAATGAATGTTTACAAGTGCCAAATACCCAATACTACATAAATATGTACGTTTCCTAGCTATGTTTAATAGAAAACTCCATTCTATCATTTTATGAAAACTTCTGATAATCTCGCAAAATTAAGACAGGAATAAAACCATACGTACAAAGATTTTGACCATCTTTGCAGAAAATGGAAGTAAAATTCTGGACGTTTGTTATCTTGTTGGTAGCATCCGTAGGATCTGTCCTAGTCCAGAATCTCGGAAAGAGCTATCATCTGTAAGTAAACAAGGAGTATCTAAAATCCCCAAAAAGATCCAGAGACCTTAAAGAAGCTAACATTTATTAATAAACAGGGAGTATCCAAAATCCACAAAAGATCCAGAGTCCCTAAAGGAGCTTCAATCTGTATGTAAATAGGGAGTATCTAAAATCCCATAAAAATCCAGAGTCCTTAAAGGAGATACCTTCAGTAAGTAAACAAGGAGTAACCAAAATCCCCAAAAGATTCAGAGTTCCTAAAGGAGCTAACATCTGTAAGTAAACAACGAGTATCCAAAATCCCAAGAAGATCCAGAGTCTTTAAAGGAGCTACCTTCTGTAAGTAAACAAGGAGTAACCAAAGTCCCCAAAAGATACAGAGTCCCTAAAGGAGCTAACATCTGTAAGTAAACAACGAGTATCCAAAATCCTAAGAAGATCCAGAGTCTCTTAAGGAGCTACCTTCTGTAAGTAAACAAGGTTGGAGCAGAGTCCAAGAAAGAGCTACTATCTGTAAGTTAACAGGGATAATTCAAAATCCCTAAAAGATCCAGAGTCCTTAAAAGAGCTAACATCTGTAAGTAAACAAGGAGTATCCAAAATCCCCAAAAGATCTAGAGTCCTTAAAGGAGCTAACATCTGTAAGTAAGCAAGATCGAATCACAGTCTAAGAAAGAGCTACTATCTGTAAGTTAACAGGGACGATTCCGAATTCCAGGAAGATCTACCATTTGTAAGTAATCACGGATGATTCAAAGTATATCAAAGTCATAGCCTAAAGGTAAACTCGAGGAAAAAGAATGTATTTTACCTATATTTTTTTCGCGAACTAAAATGTTCCCAGCAAAAAATATGTTTGTACAAAAACTCATTGAGCTCATTTTCTTAGGTAAATAAAATATTTTTAGCATTATAACGCGTTACTTTCGCATACCTACAAAAATGAGCTCAATACCGGTATGCTTTCGTAGGTTTGAAAAAGTTACCGGTGATTACAATTATAGTTTTGTGGAATCATGCTCGTAGGTTGTGTTGCAATCGCAAACTGGGGCTTAAGATATATTTAATTGACACGGAATAAATCTTATGTACTGTATAAACGTACAATGTTTGTTTTAGTCTTAAAATAATGAAAATATAAATATCTCATCAAATAATCTCATTAATAGTAAATAAAAATAAAATGTACATTTTTCAAAAAACTATTTTTACAAGGGCTTTTCTCGTATATATATGTACATAAATGATTGACATAAACTAACAGCTAGCTTTTAGGATCCGCTATGGAAAAATTAAATCTAATTTTCTTTTTTCTTTACCATGCTACAAAGCAAATCAATTTTGTTATCCATCATTATTTGGTATGCATAATCTCGTCTTCTTCTTGATGAGGGATAGGCAGACGTTGGCTAAATATGAAAGGGAAGACCTAAACACTTTGCCAGAATGATTAAGTGTTTTAGAAATAAACTAAAGAACCAAATTAAGAAGTTAAAGGCAATATGCAAACCATCTGTCCTTCCGTTTTCACTAAATTGGAGATGATAAAAAGAATTAGAAAGACTACGTAAACAATTTGTTATGGCTCCAGCAGACAAGGCTGGTAACAATATCTTTTTTTGTTTTTAAGACTGATTATTATTACTGTATTTTAGAAGAACTTGGCTTTAATTCTACCTCTGGAAATTCATTTCATACTCACATTCACATTTCAGTGTTTAATACTTTTAACTTTCCAGTCAACCAATATGTGTTTTATCTACCATGCCTCTCCTGGATTCCTAAAATACATAAAAATCCAAGCAAGACTTTTTTTTATATCAATAAAAACTGCTTCTTCAATAAAAATGGAACTGTGAAATTTTCGTAACCTGGGACTGGTCATACAAAATTACTTTGTTAAAAAGAACTCTGATTCCATTACTCTGAAGGATACTGGAGTTCCTCATTGGCAATATTTATGTAGTTTTCCGAGACCAGGGCTTCCAACAAACTGTTGGAATTTCGGAGGGCACTAATTGTGCTCCATGATTAGCCGATTTGTTTTTATATTCTTATGAAGCAGAATTTATTAAAAAACTTCTACATGAAAATAAGAAAACACTTGCTGTGACCTTCGACGGTTTAACAATTAATGATAGTTACTCAATTCATAAATCGACTCTATATATTCCATCGAACTTGAAATAAAAGACACGACAGAGTCTTCACATCTGTTTCATATTGGAATGTTTTACTGACTATAGACGAAAAGGGCCATCTAACAACTAAACTGTACGATAAACGAGATGACTTCAGCTTTTCCATTGTCAACTTTCCTTGTTTATGTAGTTATGTTCCGCTATCGGGTGTTTACGTCTCCTAATTTATTCGATACTCAAGAACATGCTCCGATACTATAAATTTTAAAGCGATGCAGGCTTCCGACAGATAAGTTGATATTAAAGGGATTTCATACTAATTGTTAGGCCTTTGTTTTTATAAAAGTTCAACTACGGAATGCTCCGTCTAACTGATCATTACATAGGGCTCACGACAGGTTTGACCGGTCAACATGGGATTCTTACTCCTCATAGACACCTGATCCCACCTCTGGATTTCCGGGGGTCCGTGTTTATGCCTTGTTTGTAGATTTGTATTGTTTTCGAATTTATTTTAGATCGATCACTGTTCATTGTCTTAACCTTTCAGCTCATAAAACATTCAGTTTGTTTTAGGGAATGTTAATTTTCTCGTTAATTTTCTCGTAACAGTGAGGGTTGAGGTCAGTTTAGTATGTAGTTCAGTGAGTTGTCACTTTTATTATTATTATTATTCATCCAACTACAAATGACCAACTATGAGCTCTAGAAAGAGTACAGGACAACTCGACTCTCAAGGTATTCAAGCTATTCCTCCTCAATTTTCACAATAAACCTTTACTATTTATGTCAATCTTAACCGTTCTGACAGTAGGAAAATGTCTTTTAAACTTTGAAGTACAGTTTAAATCTCACCCTACTTCACACATTACTTTAATCATTATCCATTTTGTACAAATTTATCTTTTTTTTATAATTACCATCCTAACTTGAAATAGGTTTAAATGCATTTCAAAACATTGAGTGGATGCAACTGATGCACTCTACGAAGATGGTAATAAAAACGTTTATATTTATTTTTTTTAAGTCTGAGATTTCTTAATCACCAGCTTTTCTTTTTTAAATGGACTTTTGAAATATTAAAAAATATAAATAGAATGACCAAAAATATGAAAAAGTCCTTTAATGGCATGAACCAGTTATCTTAATAGAACAAATTGAATATGATGATGTCATTATGAACTATATTACGTAAAATTGATTGTTCCGAAAAGGAATACAAATAGCCCAATCAAACCAATCAATAATCAATACTTATACCAATAAAAAGTGAAGGGAAATGATAAATTTAATTCAGATCTTTTAAAAAGGAGCAATAAAACTGGGAACTTTGAGAGTTAAAAGAGGAACTGATCGCAAAAACTGATGAACTGATGAGGATGGAGACTATTTCTATGAATTCAAATAAATAAATAAATAAATAAATAAATAAATAAATAAATAAATAAATAAATAAATAAAAAAAAAATTAAAAAAGAATGTATGAATTGATTTGAAGTTAACACAAGATAAATTGTTTTAAAAACTATCACAATAAATAAAATAACTTTTGGAAAAATATCTTATCTTGTTACTGGCTTACACAAAAATCATTGGGATTTAACATTACGAAAATAAACACCCCATCTTCAATAACGTAACGATGTAAAGTTAATTGGGAATCAAATTACACGTCACACCCATATAAACTCTAGATATAACGACAATTATCTCATGTGCTTGACAGCAAACTTGAACGCAAACTTTGAAAAATCTTTCTATATGTGTTTGCTTGAAGTTAACTAACAGTAATCGATATCAATATTCTTTAAAACAGTGCAAATTTTTGATTACGGTATAAAAACGGTCCTCTGGAACACCAGAAGGGGGGGTGTTGGTAAGGTGCGGGGGGTGGGTGGAGGAGGGGTTAAGCATCCCCTTTGGACCGGTTATACCCACCATGAACCATATACGTATATTGATAAGGTAGACGTTATTGTCAAATTTTGTATAACATATAACATACAGCTAAAAAGTATTTCTAACCTATCAAGCCTATTTGAAATTACTAAAAACACATTTGAAAAGAAAATACATTGCTACTAGACAAAGTCAAAAAAATATATGAAGCATTTTGAAATTTTGTTATAGTCTTTACATTCATGATTGTAATTTTCTTTTCTAGTTTTTAGTTGCTCCCCCATATGTAGAAGTAATAATCTTAATGTCATTTGGTTTGCCAGAAGTGAAGCTTTTACAGTGTTTATTTGAAATTGAGTACCATTTCCATTTAAGTATCTTCCATTCATGTTTTAGCTTTTCGCATGTTTTAAATAAAATCTCACGTGGAGTAATCCGTGGTTAAATAAAGTA